GTACCCGTCCAGTCTGGGGCGCTTCCGGTACCAGAAACGGGCAGGCCAGGCTTCGAGGGCCTCGCAAGGGGCGACTTAGTTAGTCCTATAGTATTACCCTGGAGGGGATTTTGTGTTGTTGACCGGTGTTGTATTATATGAATCATCTTGTTATTAACCGGTGTACTGTTGGATGCTGAGGCACCATGTTTATGTATCGTGTATGTATGCACTTTGTTGTTTGTTCTATCCTCTTGTATTGGGGAGTATGTATTTGGAATTTCGAACTCTCTATTATGTTTATTGAGAAGTTGTTAAAGGAAATCAATGATCCTAATGTTGTTGCCTGCTTGGTACCTGTTTGTTGGTTCGTGTTTTGGGCCTTGCTACTTAGTGAGTCCGTGGTAACTCCATCGGTTATGTTGGGGTAGTGTTTGTGGTGTGATTGGTTATCAATTGTGGGGTATGGTTTGTGAGTGGATGCTGGCAGCATTCTGTGGAGGGAGAACAGTTTGAGTTCTAGAGTAATGAGAATAGCGTTGGTCAAATTGTCCTTCGTGATTGAGGTTTACCAAGTCCCATGGGGGGGGGGATAGTAATTCCCTTAGACACAGTATTGTTGTGGTTTGATTTTAAGGGATCCGTTAAGATTCCAGAATTTGGGGGTTTGTGTGGGGAACTCCGTGTGTGGGGTTAGTGGCACATCAGTGGGTGGATTACTGAGTGTGGAGTTTATTGAGTTGATTAGTCAACTTGTTCGTGTTGGGTTTTGGGTTGACGTCGGTCACCTTGAGGTTAGTCTCGTTTGTTGCAGACTTTATGTGTTAATTAAAGAAAACTGAAACTAATCATCCGGTTGTGTCATTAAATATGACAGTTATAATAATACAGCAAATTTGTGTATTGAATGATCATTGTGAATGATTGGATTTTTTTTTTATACATTATATATGTATATTGTTTGGGAGGAGATAGGGGATGGACTCCGATGATACAGCACCAAAATGTGTATCTGTTGAAAGATTGATATAGCTTGTATGCTTGTCATTGAATATGACAGTTATAATAATACAGCAAATTTGTGTATTGAATGATCATTGTGAATGATTGGATTTTTTTTTTATACATTATATATGTATATTGTTTGGGAGGAGATAGGGGATGGACTCCGATGATACAGCACCAAAATGTGTATCTGTTGAAAGATTGATATAGCTTATATGCTTGTCTATGGTGAAGTGAAAAATGTTTTATATGAGTTATTATCTCATTTAATTGTTTGGCTAGGTTCTGAGCCAGGTGTATGCTATTAAACTGATTAAGTAAAGGGAGGCCGGCTGAAATTGCAAAACCGTGAATTTCTTATGCCTTTTGTATTGTTAGCACTGTTATTATTTCTATTAACTATCATTATAGAAATGTTTTGTTCTATGTTGGTTGTGGCATCACTGTGTGAGTGATGGTTGTTGATGGTGTTGTTTTGGAAAAGAAACGGAAAACAAAATTTTCTTAGTGTTTGGGTTATCTAAATGCGTTGTTGAGAAATTGATTTAATTCAAGGATTTTGAGGAATTCCAAATGAATGATTTTTGGCAGATAAATTGTGGATAGTTATGTGTTTTGGATAACACCGTATTTGTGAAAAATGTTTACAAAACTTTTGAGTTTGCGTTGAAAAGGCAAGGTTTATTTTGAAATGTTTCATGAGCAAGAAAATATTTTGTTATATTGATGTAATAAATTTGCCTTGTCTATCTTTTTATTTGAAGTTTTGTTGTTGGGTAGTGACTTGGCTTGAAGCGCTAGTCGGTTGTTGGTGAATTGTTTCGGAAAAAGGTTTGGTTTTTGTTGTAGCATTTGTGTCTACAGTGTTGTCGTTTGGTTAGTCTCTTCCTTGGTAAGAGTGAATCGAAGGTTTGTAGTGAGAGTAGTTTCTTTCCTAGGTTAGTCTCTTCCTTGGTAAGAGTGAATCGAAGGTTTGTAGTGAGAGTAGTTTCTTTCCTAGTACTCGGGTGATGGTGTCGTGTGATCAGTTGGCCATGTGTTTTGGCACATCCTTAATTTCGGGGACGAAATTCTTTAAGGGAGGGAGGTTATAGCGATCCCGGTATTCCCTGTTGTTGTATAACTATAATCTGGACTCAGTTCCGTAGATTCGTTGTTGTTTTATCCTCATTTCTATCCCTTTCTCTTTGTTTTAGAGTTTTGGGTTGTGTTGGGCAAGTTGGGAATTAGTTGGTTGTATTTTAAAGCTTTGAAATTTTTTGCCCAGGTTTTGGTCTCTCCGCTCGAGCGGCAGTTTTACGCTCGAGCGGGCTTTTGTTGCTGCCTTTCCGCTCGAGC